CCTCCATGCCCCTTCTCCCTCTTGTCTGTCCTGGACTCTTGTGGCTCTTCACATTCTACCTCCTGCTCCTTCCTGAATGTCTCGGACTCCTGTAATGGATTTTTTTTTTATTTACACCTGTAGCCCTCTCAGTGTGCACAGCAGTGCCTGCTCCACCTCCAGGAGATGGCCAGGGGCCTGGCACGTGCTGTTCCTCTGTAGAGAAGGTCTCTTTCCCTCCCCCTAGTCAACCACCACTCATTCACTCCTTCACAAGCCCCCATGAACCCTAGGCTAAGCCACGCTGCATTGGTACATGTTCTTGGGGTTCCCTGCACTCTCCTTCCAGCATCAAACTTCATTACACATTTATTATGCAATGTTTGATCTGTCTCTTGTGCTACATAAGCTTCAAATCAGCAGAGGTCATGGCTGACCTCTCTCATGCTATTCCTGTTGCCCAGCACTTACTGAGTTGGTACTGATGGGACAATTGAGGGCAGGGGCCTTTTATTCACTTTGCTGTTACATTTTCAGGGCACCCAAGAGGTGCTCAGAAATGGAAGACTGTGCCCACCACAACCTGGTTGTAGAGCTATTGACCCTTGTGCTGCCTCTCCATGTTCGGCCTGGGGAGACAGGGGAAACGCCCAGCACAGGCCCAGTCCAGATGTCTATTGCCTTTAAGTGTAATGAGGTCCCTTTTGAGTGGAACTCACCTGGGGAGTGGGGACTCTGTCTTCCCTATTTAAAGACCCTCTACCCTCCATCCCTGTGCCCGTGACACCTAAAGGATGCCAGACCCTGCTTTGTGTTCAGAATCTCAGAGCCTGGTGATGATTCTCTCAGGTAGTAGGGGACTGCCAAGTCTCCTTGGCCCTAAGAAACATGAATCTAGAAGAATCTGGAAATAAGGGGAAAAGATCACATGCAGTGGTTGGCTGTCACTGGAGGCAACAGGGCCCAGGTATCTATCAGGCCATCAAAGCATTGCTCTCTGAGGGGCAAGCACCACCTCTAGGGTTTTTGTTTTGTTTTTAAGTAAAGATTTTTTAATTTATTTATTCATAGAGACACACAGAGAGAGAGAAAGGCAGAGACACAGGCAGAGGGAGAAGCAGGCTCCATGCAGGGAGCCCGACGTGTGACTCAATCCCGGGTCTCCAGGATCACACCCCAGGCTGCAGGCAGCACTAAACCACTGTGCCACCAGGGCTTCCCCACCTCTAGTTTTTAAAGAGGTGGATTTTATGCAGTAGACACAGAGGCAGTGGGGATAGTCTTCCAGAGTCAGGAGGCCCAGTTGCCTCCCATGTGGTCTGCGCACATTTCATCTCCACTCTGAGCCTGGGCAGTGGGGTGGTACCAACCGGAAGGGCTCTGTGCGATTAAATTGAAGTCGTGTAGGCCAAGTGCTTACGGCAGTGCTGTGCACTTAGTAGGCCACCAGAATGCGGACTCCCCTCTGCCTCTTGGGGCAAGGCAGCTGTGATTGCCATTAATCCATCCACCCAGCAGGTGCCCTCATTGCTTCAAGCCATGGGTGGAAATCTGGGGCTGTGGGTTGACTATGAAAATAAAATCTCTTGAGATAAATGCTGGCCCAGGGTAGCTCTCTGGACTTGGCCCTTCATCCAGCTTCCCAGTCCATAAATGAGGATGATGACATCCAATCTTGTATACCCAGTCAGGGGAGGAAAAGTCCAGAGCCCTATAGACAGGCAGAGATCCTTCAGGAAACAGGTACACACTGCCACGCTCAAGATGACCACTAAGACCGGATTTGGGTGGCAGCATGGAGCATGGCATTTGGTTGGCAATTCCCCATCTTAAAAGCATTGTCTTAATCAAGTGCTTGCAGCTTCAGAGACACAGCATCATTCAGGTTCCACCTGAGTTCCACCACTCACCCGTTGTGTGGCCTTGAGCAGCCACTTAACCTCTCTGAGCTTCCATACCTCATCAGGAAAATGGGAGTCATTCCACAGACTTCAAGAGCAAATCACATTATTTCCTGGCAATTCCTGCCCGGTGAATCTTTCCCTGAAAACATCCCTTTTCAGGGAATCCCCCTCCCGATTCCTTCCCCTAGCATAGAAGATAGAAGTAGCCACCTATGTCCTCAGGATGGCATAGCAATTGTCATTTTCCACTTTCTAGAAACCCACCCAAGACCATGTATTATTTTGACAGAAGCCCTAGTTCTACCCAGACTGACCCCCATATTCACAAGCATTATGGTGTTAGAAGACCAAGGACATTGCAATGAGTTATTTATTGGCTGAGGTGGTTTTTTCATATCCTGCTGGAAACCAAAGTATAGTCCTAGACTTCTTATAAATATGAACCAACTTAATCATCAACAAGTAGCTCAGACCATGTTCCAGAAGCTCTGCTGCAAAATCAAGACAGATCCATCTCTACTTACTAATACTCTACATTCACAGTCCTTTAATTTCCTCTGTGGGTGATCAGCACAGACGAGCTAGGTCCATCCTGGCATTGGATGAACATTTTTGGGGCATTTACCACAGACTAGGTTCTTAGCTAGGCACTAAGGACATGATATATAAGGGAAGAGGACAGGCAAAGGGGGATGGACATGGTAGAGACTCTGCAGAAGGTAGCGTTTGGTCAGGAAAACAAACATCAAGCCACGGACTAGAGGTGAGATGAGGTGTTCACAGAGCAAGGGATAAGCCAACCCTTGACCTTGGCCAGGAGAAGTCCTGGCCCTGGGGACCTGATAGGGGCCCATAGACCTTGGCACAATGGCCCCCTAGGTCTCAGGCTAAAGTCAGCAGCACCAAGGAGGCTCACAGAGGCACAGTGGGATTTTTCTCATTCAATTGCCTGGTCTTTCTCCATAAGCGGTCAGAATGGACAGCTCACAGGTGATGTAAGAAAGATGTTAGGGTTCAAAGCCAACAGCCAAGAAAGAATTCTTGAGACATCTTCGATGCAAGAAGGTGGTTTTATTAAAGCACAGGGACAGGATATATGGGCAGAAAGAGGTGCCCTGGGCTTGTGAAGAGTAACTGATTCTGTATTTTCAAGTTGAGAGGGGATTAGGGACAGCACAAGCCTCCCAGGTATTTTTGAAACAAGATTTCCAGGATTTGAGGGAGCTAGCTATTGCTAGGAAAAGGTCATTTACTACTGTTTAGTAAAAACTCAGTCATGAGACCCTTCAGATGTATATTGCGGGTCCTATGCTTGGAGAATGATTGCCAACTTTATCTATATCTTGAGAAATATAGATAAAGGAAGTTTCCAAAGCAATTTTTATATGCCAAAGTAGACACACGGGATCCTGGGGGTCAGGCTAAGATTGCCTGTTGCCCTTAGCAAAGCATTAACATCGAAGCAGCTGAGTTCCTAGAGGAAGGTCACCCTGTCTGTTCCAAGAACCCATCACTGGGCTATAGGTAGTAAGGAAATTTAAGTTTTCTTTTGCTTTTGTTTCCCACATCAGTTGGCATGGATTTTTGCTTTGGAAAATGTGTCCAGGAATTTAATTCTCTCCATAGAGACTAAGAGAAAAAGACTTGTGGAGAGGGGAAAAGCTGAGGGTCCCACTGAAGAGAGGGGAGCCCTGTGTCCTGCTACTTGCTGTGGGTGAAGTCAACAGCACTGGAGAGTCTGAGCTGGAGGCATGTCCTGAACTGCCAGCAGATTGTAGGCTTTAGGATTTGGTTTTTGGTTTGTTTGGGGTTTTTTAAAGAAAGGCAGAGAGCATGAGGGGGTGGGGGAAGCAGAGTGAGAGGAAGAGGGATGATTCCCCACCCTTACCCCAGCCAGGTGAGCAGGAACCCAACATGGTGCTGGATTCCAGGACCCTCGGATCAAGACCTGAGTTGAAGGCAGACACTTAACAGACTGAACCACCCAGGTGCCCCTAGGCTTTAGGATTTGTAGAAGAAAACGCAGTGCTGTAATTGTACCTAAAAATAAATGGGCAACTACTAGAGTCTGATACTTGTGTTAAAATAAAGGCAAAAAGGGGATCCCTGGGTGGCTCAGCGGATTAGCGCCTGCCTTTGGCTCAGGGCATGATCCTGGGGTCCCAGATGGAGTCTTGCATCGGGCTCCCTGCATGGAGCCTGCTTCTCCGTCTGCCTGTGTCTCTGCCTCTCTCTCTGTCTCTCTCTTGTGTGTGTCTATCATGAATAAATAAATAAATAATCTTTAAAAATAAATAAAAAGTAAAAATAAATGAAATAAAGGCAAAAAAAAAAAAGAATAAATCTTAGTCCAGGAAGAAACAAACAAAACCAAAACAACATCCAGGCAATGGGAGGATAAGAGAAGGGGCCATCCTACCCACAGAGGTCCTGGGATACCCCCTCTGAGAGAAGGAGATAAATCTGCTCCATAAATGTCCCTTTCGGTCCCTTGAATTCGAGGCCGACTTGCCCCGACAGCAGCAGCAGCAGCCCTCCCGGCGGGGCCCGCGGTGGGGGCAGCCTCTTCCCGCCCCACAGATGTGCATGGGGGAGAGGACCGCGCTGGGCCTGAAGGCGCGGGGAGAAGGGGTGCGTGGCCAGAACTGTCTCGGTGCCGCCCCCAGCCCCCCAGCCCCCCAGCCCCCCAGCCTGCAGCCTGCAGCCGAGGGCAGAACTGGGACCTCGTCCCGCTTTGAGCCTGAACGCGGAGGTCGCACGTATCAGCGCCCCCAGGGGAAAGATGAAGGAGACCCAACTTAAGAGCAGCTGAGGCAATGTTAGCCCGCGGGGCGTCACGATGGGACTGGGGGGGCCTCGATAGCGATGGTTATCATTCTTAAGGGATGGCGATCTCGTGCCAAGCGTGCGAAGCGCCTCGCCCGAGGGGCCTCGGCCTGCTCGGGTGGGAGGTAGCGCGGGAGGTGCGCGCAGGAGCCGGGCCCGCCCGCAGCGCCACCACCCGCAGCGCCTTCGGTGGGTCCGGGCGGCGCGCATCTTGGCCTTGGGCGGGGACGGGGCGGGCGGGGACCGCGGCTCCTCCCTCCTCGGCCCCGGGCTCCCCTCCTCTTAACCCGCGCGCTGGGGCGCCGGGGCCACTGGGCTCCGCCGAGCAAGCGAGAGGTCAGCGCGAAGGCGAGCCGCGCGCGTCCAGCCCGCCGGCATGGCCCCAGCAGCGGCGTCGGGGGGCAGCGGCCTGCCCAGCGGCGTCTCCGTCTTCACTACCTTCCCGGACCTGCTCTTCATCTTCGAGTTTGTGAGTGGCTGGCGCGGCCGTGCCCAGGGAAGGGGCTGGCTGGGTGGTGGCGGCCGGAGCCGCGGGCTGCACGGGTCTCCGGAGCGTCGGGGTAGCTGGGCCACAGCGGGGTCTCCCTCCTCCCCTCCCACGCCCCGTCGTTCGGCCTCCTCTAGACAAGGGCAATGGGTGCACAGTCCCGGGACCCAGGTGGGAAGTCCAAATTCGCAACATGGGTCGAATGTTGGAAGCAGGCCTGGGTCCACCTGCCGTGCGCTGGTTTCAGAGCCCCCCTCCCAACTCGCTTCGCTGGAGTCGCGCAGAGTATGCCCTTCCGAGGGCGACGTCCTTGGAGGAGTGCCCAGCTTTTCCCAGGGTTAGGGTTTCGAGAAAGAGAGAAAGAAAGAAAAGAAAGAAGAAAGAAAGAAAGAAAGAAAGAAAGAAAGAAAGAAAGAAAGAAAGAAAGAAAGAAAGAAAGAAAGAAAGAAAATAAGAGAAAGGAAGGAAAAGAAAGGAAGAAAAAGAAAGAAAGAAGAAAGAAAGAAAGAAAGAAAGAAAGAAAGAAAGAAAGAAAGAAAGAAAAGATAGAAGAAGGAAACCTGAGTACGCATTGCCAACTGAGGTCTGCAGATTGGGTTGGTGTAGTATAAGGAGCTGAATCTGGATTATTCTTTTCTGGCATTTGAAAGTTTCTGGCCAGTGAACGTTCTTGCCACCACTTTGATCTGGAAATAATAAAACAAGCCATCGTTTGATCGCCACAGTCACTCTGCCCTGTGCGGGCGGGTGGGGGTCAGGGAGAGGGAGCAGCCTGAGCGGTCCTGGGCCCCGGCTGACCTTGGGCGGCAGGAACCCCGCTCCTGAAGCTGGAGCTGCACTGTCTCGGCTGCTGGTGGCTACGGAAAGCACTTCCCACTCCCGGCTCTTAGTAAGGTGGTCGCTGTGTGGGGACGCTTCAGGTCTCCCTCAGCCTAACTAACAGCTGCGGGGGGCGCAGTCCCTTACCTGGGAGGGGGCGTGCTGTATTTACTCTGTGGGTGTGGTGCGTTGTGGTCACAGAGACTCCTTCCCTGCACCCCCACTGTGTAGAAACGGCTGCCAGGAGAGTTGGTTGGAAAAGACTATGTCCTAGCTTGAATGTCTAAAAATGGGACCCTGGCTTCTTATTGTCTGATTGGAGGCAGAAGGATGTGAACAGCAAAGGAAGCAACTTCTGTTCTCCGTGGAGGGTTTGGGGGAAAGGGCTAAGGGGGCTGCGGTTGCCTGGGGACGCCGTATCACTGAAGTGTGAATTGCATTGAGCCCAAACCTGGGTGTATCCAGAATACCTTCAGATCCTGGAGCTAACCAGAATCTAAGGAAGTGACATCTAGAAGACACCCTGGACACCACTAAGCCCAGTCCCACCATTTATGGATGATGACATCCAGGCCCAGAGAGAGGGGCTTGCATCCACTGGAATATTCTTTTCCCAAACGGCTCATCTGCACTGCCATTCAGCAGTTAGCCTGTGCTTCCCCAAGGCTGAGTTTCTGAAAAGAGCACATAGACCCTATGACTTGGGAATAAGTAGTGGTGGTTTCTTCAGAGGCTACTGGCATTACATTTTTATTTTTTTATTTATGATAGTCGCACAGAGAGAGAGAGAGAGGCAGAGACACAGGCAGAGGGAGAAGCAGACTCCATGCACCGGGAGCCCGACGTGGGATTCGATCCCGGGTCTCCAGGATCGTGCCCTGGGCCAAAGGCAGGCGCCAAACCGCTGGGCCACCCAGGGATCCCGCTACTGCATTACCAAGGCAGAGTTTCATAACCAAAACAGATGATGGCTAATGGTGAGGTGTGATGGGGCAAGAGAGATTTTTTTAAGCAACAAAAGATATTCCTAATGGCTTTTAAACTGCCCTTATAAGTGGCTTACAATGTCTTTGTAGCTGTTTGAGGAGCATTAAAACAAGAATCAGAAGAGTGTGTTACTTGAACTCCAGGCTGAAGACTCTGTTGTACCATCTTCCTCTTGCCCTGACAAGAATGGGCTCAGGTGGCAGCAGGTAGTGGCAGGTGCGGGGGGGGGGGGGGGGCTGAGGGGCAAGGTGGGGAAGGCTGGCTTCACCGAAGGGACAAGACTCCCAGTGCCCTCTGCCTCCTCTTGGTATCACAGTTTAGGGGAAGGAGTGCCCCTGAGGGTAGGAACAGACCAGCCAAACAGAGCAATCAGCTGGGTGGGGACAAGAGGATACCACCTCCGAAACCCAAAAAGTGAAAGAAGGCTGAGTGTGGGAAATCTCAGAACCATGAGTTAGTGGAAATTTACTCCTCCTGAGGCAGTTCTGTGACCTGAGATAGTAAAGGCTTCTAGAAAAAGTCATTCTTTCTTGCTTGGAACTTTCCTCTCAGCTGTGTTAGAAGTGATTTTTTTTCTTCTTATGGGCACCTGAGTGGCTCAGTGGGTTAAGCATCTGACTCTTGGTTTCAGCTCAAGTCATGATCTCTGGGTCCTGAGATCAAGCCCCACAGCTGGGCTCTCTGCTCAGCAGAGAGTCTACTGGAGATTCTTTCTGCTTTCCCTCTCCCTTTGCCTCTCCCCCCACTTGTGCTCCCTCTCTCTAGAATAAATAAATAAGTCTTTGAGAAAAAAAAAAAGATTTTATTCTCCTTAATCTCAGCCCTGCTCTCCCACTTCCATTCCTTCCTCCCAACTCCCCAAGAGACCTTGGGTGCCTCAGTGTGTGCCTCTGAATCTCTTTCCTCCTCTCCAGAGTGGGGATGCACCCACGGGTTGCTTGGGAGAGCAGAAAAGAAAGCCGACACTGGTTCTTTAAGTATTCCTCTGCACAGTTTGTAAGATTTTAGAGTGGAAACTGTATGTGTCTTGATGTGTGGAAAGAGTAGTGAATTAAAGGACTCTGAGAAGGGTTTTTTAAATTACAGACTATTACAACTCAACAACAAAAAGACACGTAACCCATTAGAAAATGTGCAACAAACTTGAATAGGCATTTCTCCAGAGGAGCTTCATAAGCATATGAAAAGAGGTTCAGCATCATTAGTCATTAGGAAAATGGAATAAAAACTACAATGAGGTATGATTTCATGTGAAATTATGGTGATTATTATTTAAAAAAAAAGATTAGGCATCCCTAATCTGTTCTTCTCTTGATAGACATTTTGGCTGTTTTAAATTTGTTCCTTTCTGCTGGTGCAGATGGCATTGCCAAGAACATTCTTCTATGTGCCTCATTAGCTACATGTTGGGAAGTTCCTCCCAGAACACATAGGGAGGATTTGACCTCCTGCTTCATAAGAAAGGCACATCTTCCTTTTCCCAGTTGTTATCACATTGCTGTTCAAAAAGTTGATTCCAATGTCCAATCTCTGGAAGCAGAGTTACCCAGCTGATGAAGCATTAATTAAGCTCAGGCCCCTTCCAAGACCCTGCCTTAGTTCGCCTTCTTTGATAAAGAAGGTCCCCAAATTGTCTGTTTCGAGCTAAACCTGGACCTTTCCAGCTCCCACCAGCAGTGCGTGAAAGTCCCCACTGTTCCTCATCCTTGCCACACTGGATTGCATCAGAATTTGCAATTTTCTGCTAATCCAATGGGTGTGAAATGCTTGGGTATGTTCTAAATCTGTGGTCTGTTGAGTTGATTAGTCACAATTCATACCCCATGCCTGACTTCCCAGGAGCCCGAGAGTCACAGATGCCAGCATCCAAGGCCAACAGGGTGGAGCTCCCCTCCTCTCCCCTCTCAAGGCAAGGAAACTGCCCAAAGGGGCTGGGAAGGGTGGTGACTCGGGGGAGGGGTGGGTGGCAGTATACGGCAACCTCACTCTGGCCCAGCACCCCTATCCCAGACCTCTGAAAGCTGTAGGGCGTGGTAGGAAGTAGAAGGCTGGCCCTACCAGGTAGTGTGAGCCACACAGGCCATACCGCTGTTGCAGGTAGTAGAGTCACAGGGGCACCCCCCCCCCATTGAGAGGCTCCCAGCAGAATGTCCTGTTTTCCAACAACTCACCGGGGGGCTTTGCTTCTGGCCTGCTCCCCTGTCCCCACTCAAGGGGAGACTTTTTCTTTGGGGATCACAGTCTCTTGTTGCCTCTTCCTCTTCTTTTCTAAGCCAGAAGCTCTATGACACTCAGACCACCATTCATGGAACAAAACGTTAACGTCGAATGCTCTTTGTCTCAGCTCTGGCCAGGGCCAGAGGAAGCTCTTCTCACAAAGTGCCAGGTTATGAAACCATTAACTTGGCTCCCTCTTCCCCAGCCACTGACAGAGGAAAAAGGAAAAGCCACTGGCTGGAGTGGCTGGGGATGAAGAGAGACTTGGGGAATGCAGAAAAGGAGGGTGAGAGCCAAGGCTCCTAGGGTGCACTTTTTGAGGTGAATGTGAAGTGGGGAGCTTCACCTGGAAGGGGGTTTGCAGTTTCGATACTCACAGTGAACTGGATACAGTAGTTACCCAAATGAGACTGTTTCTCTCACCCAAAGAAGCTGAGGACTTTTATTATTTGAGAGTGACCAGACAAGTCCTGAGACCTGCCCTAGATTTTCACCTGCCTGGTAAACAGCTGCCCTACAGAGCCAGCGTGGAGCAGTGAGGGTGGGGTAGAGAGGCAGGATGATATAGCAGCTTTCTGGTGGGTGGTCCACCTTCTGGTTACATTGTGAAGACAGCATGAGGACTCATAGGAGATGAGAGTTGTACTCACCGAAACCGAATTTTTCGGAGCTGGGACGAGACTGAGGTTGGGGGTGGGGAACGGAAAGGGGGGAGGCGGAGGAGGGGGTGGAGCCCAGCTTCCTCAGGTAACTCGGTCTCCAGGGTGCCACTTCTTACAGTGACAGCAAGTCATGTCCAGGATTTGCATTCACCCCAACACCCATGATGAATTTTTGCCCACAGCAGAAAGGATCATGAAAGGGCAGCCCAGGGGAGGGCTTGGTTCCCTTCTTCCCTTTTCTCCATGTCCCCCCACCCCCACCCCAGGAGTTGAAGGGGCAGCTCAGAGCCACTGGGG